ATGTCAGATGTATAGGTAGAAAAAGCCATTTTCCCTCTTCTGCCTACCATACTTTCAGTGTGCTGGTCCCTTTCCATTCTGCGCAGCAGAGACCCAGCCCCTGAGTGAGAAACTAAGTGACAGGAGCTCACTGCCCTCATGACAACGGGCTGGTGCACTCATTCATTTTGTCAATGATGATAAGGCGTCAACTAACTCAGCTAACTACCTTTCTGTGCTCTACAATTCTTCTCCTGATCTCTTTGGTGTTGGACAATTTTTAAAAATAAGTAGCTGCCCATGCCTTTAATTCCATCACTTGGGAAGCAGAGGCAGGCAGCAGATTTCTGCGTTTGAGGCCAGCCTGGTCTACAGAGCGAGTTCCAGGATAACCATGGCTACACAGAGAAATCCTGGACGGAAAAGCAAAAGTTAGTAATAATAATGATGATAGTAATGAAAGAAATTCATGGGTTTTCAAAGAAAAATGGCAGAAAGAGTTACTAATATTTTAACCAAAGAAGGATGGGGAAAATCATAGTTATACCTCAACAGCAACCAGTCACAAGCAATAGCTTAAGGAATCTCCAAGGCAGACAGTGAGACTAAGGAAAGCCCGGGAGCACGGTGGTGAGAGCAGCAGGGTCAGAGGCTCCCCTGAGAATCCTGTGTCAAGTTATCCGAGAGGCATTTTCAGTGATCAGTTTTCTGCCTAACGCGTTAAAATAACCAACTTGTTCCAGAATCCTCAAGGAAATGCTGTATGGACTAAACACCAAATTACATTTAACTGGATAAACATTTAAATTACGGATGGGAAATTGATGTAAAATGGAAGAACTGAGAACCATTTAAAAAATTTGCCACTGTTCCCTTGAGTTAAACCCAAACCCAGCAGTTGTGGAATTTTATCCAAACCCTACATGAGAAGCACAGAAACAGTTGCCAAGTTGTCCAAACACATTTTTTCCCTTCATTTGCAGCACCCACAAAAATGTACCACTATGTTGTTTAAGACAAAATTCAATTTAGAGGCTCGAGTCTCAGCAGATATTAGTCTGTCTGGTTTCAGAATGGAAACTGGTGACGCTGCAGGCAGTTTTTATGGAATAGGCAACTGAACATGTTCACCCCCCTCCTGTCATGGTGGATATTCCAGAGATGGCAATGGGCCTGCAGAACAACAGGAAAATGAGAAGCTGGTTCCCATGGACAAATACTCCCCGCCCCCTGCTCATTTCTTTAAGATGGAGCCTTAAAGTGCTGATGCTTTCGCTTAAGATTTTATGTGGGAGGTCTTAGAGGGATCCGCCAGGGGAACCAGAGGAAAGAGGATGTGACTGAGAGAATTAAAGCCCTTCCCAAAGATCCCTAATCTTTCAAAGCTGTGCATGATTAGTTGCCAGGAAGGGAAGAGTACCCACCTGATGAATGTATGGCCCACCATGCTACGATTATCCATGGGAGTAGAAGGAAGTTAGTTAATTTCACCCGCCTTTGTTTCCTCACTCACTATAGTGGGTTACCACTGGGAGACTCGAGATTCTTTGAAAGCACAGTGTGTTTATATGACTTATTTGGGGTTTGCCAGTGGAGTTTTAAAATTTGTATATATATTATTCTTCTGGGCACTTCTTAACGTAAGTGTGAAGGTGTGGACATGGTTTGTGGGTGTCTTTCAAGGATTCACGTTGCTGGAAGCTATGCTCATGTATGGCAGTATGACATTGACGAGATGGAGTTTGGGGAGGCTGGTAGGGTTGTTGAAGATAGTCGTTGGATGGGATTGAAGTAGTTATCAGACTCTGAGCTACTTTTTGGGAGAGTCAGTTGTCATAACAGAGCTCCTCCGACTCTGACACTGGCTTCATGGGTCACCAGGCATCCTCATGCGTGCCCTGCTCTTGTCATTGTGATACACCATGAGGTGACTTAGCCAGCGGGGCCTTCACTGGTGCCAGCACCATGCTGCTCGGACTTTTAGCTTTCAGATCTGTGAGTTAATGAAATTGGTGAATCTAAGTTGGCATGTCCTATCACCCTGTGATGGTTAATCTTTCATTGTCTCGATTTAGAGACAATTGCCTAAGAGATGCATCTTTGGATATTCCTGTGAGGTGTTACCAGAGATGTTTAAGCAGAGAAGACACATCCTAAATATGGATGGAACGTTCCCAGGGCCTAAGTTTCTAGAATGATTCTAGAGGGCAAAGAGAAAGTGTCCTGAGAATCAGCATTCACCTCTTTTCTGTGAATACGTTTTCTGCAGGAATATGTTGTTTATTTGCCCTGTGCTCCTCTGCTGTGCCATGATGGATTGGAATCCCTCAAACCACAATCTGACTCTCCAGATCGCTGTTATTTCTTTAAACTGTCTTTATATTGGTATTTTGTCATAGCAGGGAGAAAAATAAAATACCCCAAGTCCATACCTTATATTAGGATTCATCTCAAACACTGTATATCTATGGATTAGGACAAGTGTATAATTTAATTTACTATCATAGCGTCTGAATATTTTCAGTACCTTAAAAAATCCTTGTTAGCCTAGCTATTCTTCAATCCTTCCCACCTGTCTGGCTTTCTAGAAAGCTACTTACCTGCCTACTTATGCCTCTACTAGTTTGCATTTCCACCGGTCATGAGTGAGAGTTACCACTGCTGTTTCTTAATAACATTGCATGGTATCAGGCTTTTGCATTTTGGCTATTCCAATTGTATGTCCCTTTGACATTAAATAAGATCATGCCTTTGAGTTACCCAGCTTCGAGTCCTGTCCCTTCACCTTCCTCTAGCACTTAGTGCCAAGATACAGCTCAAGTGTCCCAAAAGGAGAGGAAAAAGAAGAAAAGGAATTCATGGAAAGAAAGTATTGATCCTGCAGGGACTAGGACAGGGAACTGCTACCACCCAGCACTGTTTGGGACAGAGATTCTTGCTCTATAGTCTACAGAAGCTTTCCTAATATAAAGGTGTGTAGGGCTCTGGCATTTTGTCTTTCAAAAAAAGAGAAGAAAAGGAATGAGATGATATGTGGAGAAGGAAGAGAAGGGAGGAGAGACAGAAGGAACACAGAGTGGAACCTGTTCTAGACAGAAATGGTGGTGAGGTTTCCTCCTCAAAAGTGCTGTATCTGTTCAGACAGGTTGGGAGGCAAAGAAAATGTAGCCCCCGATCCTCTTTTTTGTGTCTCTGGTTTATATTCTTCTTCTTATGAGTTTAGTACTGTATTATATACAACTTCCACACAAATGTACATTAATTAATTGCAACAAGGCCACTTGTACCACAATGGCAAGGCTTAGGGTATACACATGTCTGTCAAATTCCAAAGGTTAAGATGGACCTTTGAGAAGCACTGGGAACACATTGTTTAAGGAGAGTATCTAAAAGTAAGTAAATTATTTTAAGTTACTTGACCTTTCATTGGTCATTCCTTTTTTCTAATGTGTATAAGTGAGATGTCCACCACAAATAACAATGTTACTCTTTGGAGACTGGCATTCGAGCCTAGGGAAGTGTATGAACAGTGAAAAATGCAGGCTTTAAAGCCTGGACAACAGCTTGTCTCCCTTCAGACTTTGCAGTCAGTGTAGCTTCCAAGTCTACAGATTTATAAGTACAGTGGAATGATTTCAACACCCAAATTGCAATTAGAGCCATTGTTAGAGTTCAGATATGCATGACGTCCAAAATAATCTCTTATTAAGTTTTGTGATATTGTACAACCTTTCGTGTGATTAGGACAAGTCTACTTTTAGAAGGCTATCAACTTGTAAGAAATGAGTAGATTTCAAAAGCCATTTTTTTAGCCAATTAGTAAATTGTTTATGAGAAAAGCAGAAAAAGAAACTTCACAAACTACTTTCACAGGAGGATTTACAGTAGGCGAAACGAGTTATGTACAATACACCCAGCTTCAAACTATCCCAAGATTCTTTCTCCGTTTTCCTTTTAAAGTCAACCTAAAATTGAGTTAAATATCATTTAGAGACACTAGTTATTGAGATTTTTTTTTCCAGCACTCTTAAAAGGAAAGGGCAAAGTCTTCTAAAGTGACCATGACATGCTTAAGTAAATATTTTCTCCTAAGGTTCACTGTATAATTTAACTTGAGAAGATATGGGTAAACACAGACCTGCTGCAATATTTTAGTGAGTAATTTACTATTTCCTCTAATTTGGAAAGCTCTTTAAAACATACAAAATCTGCTGCGATTTCCCATAACACCACTTTTTCTGAAGGTTTTACAGCTTGGATAACCAATAAGCACTCACAAATTTGCTAATCAATGGCCTCAGAAACCCTGGGGGAAAACGCAAGTCTCTGTGTCTTTTCATTTTCACTCTATCCAACCTTTGCGTCATTGACCCCCACATGACTTCCCAGCCGAGTTTACAGATCCAAAGACATTTCTGTGACAGTATTCCAACTCTAGTAAAAGTGTGTGTGTGTTTAAGTCAAGATTTACTCTGTATTAAGAGCTTTAAGGCTGACCTAGAAGAATGATAAGCAGGGTTAGCTTACCCTGGAAGGCAGCTCAGTTCAGTATTCTAGACTTACTCACAAAAGGTCTCTGCTGTCACCACTCAAACTGAAGTAAAAACTCAATAAAAAAAAATGCTGGCAACTACCTATGCACATAATGTTAAAGTGACAGACTTAAAAAATCTGGGTAGATAAAATGGCTCCCATGCAGCCACGGTGCCAATTAGGAAGATCCACAGACCTGCATTTGGATGTAGAAGCTTTCTTGCCTGCATAGGAAACCCAGAATTTCAGGATGTGCTGGGTTGTAGGCAAAACTGGTAAAAGTGCCACGGGCATCTCATTGAGAAGTAGCTGGACTATGGCACCTGTGGAAATTACACGTGTGTATGACAAACCAGGATTAACTTCAAAGATGCCACCATTCATTTCTCCTATTAGAGAACAGTGAAGAACACAAAGTGACATCAGTTTTGCTAGAAAACAGTTGACCCGGAAAACGCCTCCATTCTGCCACTCTCTTCTCTGCTTACCTGCGAATATCTCCACTTCTGGCACTTGGTAGCAACCGGCTGAGGCAAACCTGGCAGAATGGCTTCCAGCTGCTGGCTGATTAACTCCTGCACGTCCTCCTCACTGCCCTCCAAGTGCGTAACCCCAAATGGGACAGTCGTGTGGATCACCAGGGATGGGCCAAATTCCGATGACTCTGTAGTGAGAGGAGAGAAGGATAGGTCTTAAGGCACAGGAGCCTGGAAGCACAGGCCCTTGTTTGAATCCAAAGCTAGAAAGTGAGCATAGCAATCAGAGGAAAAGCAGACTAATGGCTCGGCATATGTGAGGCAGGCTCTGAACCAGCCTCAGCTCTCCTGGAGAGGAAGGTAGGTTGAAGATGCTTTAGCAAACAAGAGCTCACGTCTTTCTAAGAAACGTGAAGAGACGACAAGAACCTCCTGCTCTGGGTACAACTACATTTATTGGTATTTTTATCTTCTCTTACTATCAAATTGTAAGTCTTTTATATATTATATCATATATGTTCTTTTTTCTTAAGTTCTGAGAATGAAATGGATGTTCTGAAAGATATTTATGTTAGGAAGATTGCAAAATATTTTTCTAATATTATAACAATTGTACATTATGTTTACCACTTTGAAAAAGAAATTATCTCTTTGAAATGAGAACTTTCTTCCTAATATTATTTCTTGTATCTTTTGTGTGTATGTGAGGGTTGTGATGTAGCCCAGGCTGGCCTTAAATTTGAGAAGACCTCCTCTACCTCTTAAGTGGCGAGAGTATGGTTGTGCTGCTATACTTTATCTTTCAGCTGAAAACAGAATAAAAGTCCGTCCCATCTATTATAACTCCCCATTTTGATTTCACTGTATTTTAATGATTACAAAACATGTGTGGATGCCCACACTTAGAAGAACATACGGTAGTCAATAAGGCATGAAGTTAAAGACATTTAGGCGTCTAAGCCATTAGAAAATATAATCTTGGAAAGAATGTTAACCTGAGTTTGGTTTAAATAATACTGACGCCATATGGCACTAACAGATCGTCAACTTGATTCTAAATGTCTCTAATTTTGTATTATAAGAGGTCATACTATTTGAACTATATCAATTCACTTCTATACACAAAAATCAAAGGTTGAATGGCATAAACCAATCACTTGGCATATGCCCAGCTAGTGTCTCTACATTTTAGAGATTTATTTTTTTAAGCTTGTACCTGCCTAGGTTTATAATGTAGCTAAAACAACAGACAAAATAGATGCTTCATAAAAGATACAGGATGAAGGCAATAAATCAGCTAAAAGGGCATTATTCCTAGGTGTTGCTCAAATTATAGCCATGAATTACTTTTAATAAAAGTACTTAGTCTCCCTAGTTCACACAGCTCAAGCCTTTAGAGATAACCACAAGGGATAGTCTCAAAATGCTACAAACCTTTGAAAGCACAGTCAATGTTTCCATCAAATCCCACATGTATCACACATGAGGTTGAGATATGAATGGAGACACTGTTCTAAGTGCCATGGTGAATCAGATCGTCTACTGTTAGTCCACTATTCGCCTCACTGGAATGGGGACAACCTCATTAAGCAGCTGAGGAGACATCCCTGGGCATGTTGAGCCCTTATCCTGTGAATGCAGACTTTGCTGACACCGCGCAGAGGGAGAGACTCATCAGTGCAAAACTGCAAGTTCCTTCAGGGGAAGCTCCCACAGTAGGAAACCTTTGGCATGCTGCCTTTGAGGTTTGATGGTTTAAAAGGTGAGGGCTGTGTGTGCACCTGCAGTTACTGTTCTCTGCTTCCTGCTCCTGATGGAATGTGACAAGCGGCTTCAATCTCCTGCTGCCAGGACTTCCTCACTATGATGGACTGCACCCCGAACTGTGAGCCAGAACCAGCTCTCTCTTAAGTTCATTTGGGAAGGTATTTTATCACAACAGGAGAATACCCAAGACAGCAGGTGTTATTTATATGCCAGTTTCTAACTATTTTATATCAGTTAAAAAACTCATGAAGCTTGTTCACAGTGGAGGGTGCAATACCATTCTCCATTATGTGGTACCAAATCTTTCTAGAGACAGAAAGCTACCTCAGCGGTGTTGGGAAGCAGGAGAATCGAGCTCTGCTTGCTCTTACTGGCAGACTTTAAGGGAACACAAATGCTAGAAATGTGCTGAGCATCAAGAGGTGCTCTTGTCTACTCACTGAGACTGGTAGTGGTGCATGACAAGTTTTGCCCATTTACGATGGCCATCTCCAGCCAGGAGAGCAATGCAAAAAGGAATCTTAAAACTCAAATAGAAATGGTTCTTACATAATTATAGAACAGAGAACAACCTGGTTACTTTTTATTCTTGGGATTGAACAAATTTTGAGAATTTATATTAATGTTTAGACTAACACTATCCTGATTGAGGTAACCCAGGCCCCCAAAAGATGAATATGGTATGTACTCACTCATAAGTGGATACTAAGTATAAACAAAGGACATTGAGCCTATAGAGAAGCTAAGTTATAAGGTGAACCCTAAGAAAAAACATATAGATCCACCTGTTAATTGGAAACAGACAAGATCACCTGACAAAATTGGGAGCATGGGGGTGGGGGGAGAAAGGAGGGTAGAAGGGGAGGAGGAGGGAAGCAGGGGGGTTTGACAAAAACTTGAGAGAATGGGATAGTTGAGATGGAGAAAGGACAGAGATGAGAACAAGGAAAGGGATATCTTGATTGAGGGAGCCATTATAGGGTTAGCAGGAGCCTGGCTCTAGAGAAATTCCCAAGAATCCACAAGGATGACCCCAGCAAAAACCGTAAGCAATAGAGGAGAGGGGGCCCGATCTTGACTTGCCCTGTAGTCAGACTGATGAATATCTTAAATATCACCATAGAACCTTCATCTAGCAACTGATGGAAACAGAGGCAGAGACCCATAGCAGAGCACTGGACTGAGCTCCCAAAGTCCAGTTGAAGAGTGGGAGGAAAGAGAATATGAGCAAAGAGGTCAAGACCATGATTGGTTCACCCACTGAAACAGTCTACCTGAGCTAATAGAAGCTCACTAACTCCAGCCAGACTGGGAAGGAACAAGCATAGGACCAAACTAGTCACTCTGAATTTTGTTGACAGTTGAATTGCTGGGGCAGACTGAGGGGCCACTGGTAGTGTCACCAGGATTTATCCCTACTGCTTGTACTGGCTTCTTGGAATCCTATTCTCTTTGGATGGATACCTTGCTCAGCATAGATATAGTAGGGAGGGCCTTGGACCTTCCACAAAGCAATGTGCCTTACCTTCTATGAAGATTGGATGGGGGTGGGGAGGGAGGATGTGTGGAGGAAATGGGAGGAGGGGAAGGAGTAGGAACATGGATTGGTATTTTTTTTTAAAAAAAATCTAATAAATTTAAAAAAAGTTTAAAAGAAAATGACTCCAACCTCCCAAACTAAAAGACAACTTTAGAATCTGAAGTGAAAAAAAGAAAACACACAAAAAAATCACAATGAGTAACAAACGTTATTAGAATTTATATCTGAATGGGAGAGACTAGAGATGACAATGGAGGAAAAAACAAAATCTTACATGTTTTCTTTCAAATGCAGATTGTAGACATGGGTAAACACACACACATATGTTATTAGAATGCATAAAGGGACTTTTGCTAGGTAAGACAGGGGACTAGCAAGAATGGAGGAGACAGGATGGGGAAGGCAATAACAGGGTCAACAAAAGGTCAACAAAAGCTATGCAGTGATATGTATATGGACACTATCATGATAAAATCTTTATTTTGCAAGCTACCTAAAAAGTTAATAAAGAAAGGAAAAATTGAACTAAATTGTATTGGTAAAATGTGATCTAGATATTGCATTAAAATTTGCCAAATGACCTCATACATAGTTTATCGTCTCAAATGTTATATTCAATTTTGAATATAAAATTTTTGGTGTTGAGTTAGCTTTTGTGTACATGTGGTCATACATGTATGTGTGTGGTCAAAAACAATCCTGGGTGTTGGTCTTCAGGTATCTTCTGCTTTTTCTCTTTTCCTTTTTTTTTTTTTTAAGTTAGATGAAAGCATTTCAATATCAATAGGTCAGGCTAATGAACACTAGAAAACTGAGAAAGCACATAATTTGTGATATGAAAATATGGTTCTGCTTATAATTCTAATTTTTAAACTCTGCATAAAAGAAAGGGTTGTTTTGATAAAGTGATAGAAACCACATTTAGTTTTCCATTTGTAGGCCATCATAACAGAGATCTCTATATTGAGAGTTTGAACAAGATGGTTAAATCTTGGAATGCTTTTAAAGGTACCTAAGAAAATTAGTGAGTAATAGTGCCTCAGATTTTCACTGAATGAAGGGTGAGAGACTTGAGTTCCTCGATATTTTTTAAAAAATACATTGGAAAAGACTGGTGTCTTCCCTATCCCTATTTTTTCTATTTTCCCCTAGTTTGGAAGTTTACATGTTTATGTATGACTGTAAGAGATATTTGTACACTTAAATATTCATATTATCTTTAAAGTTAAAAGCAAGTCAACAGCCAGGCGGTGGTGGCGCACGCCTTTAATCCCAGCACTTGGGAGGCAGAGGCAGGCGGATCTCTGTGAGTTCGAGACCAGCCTGGTCTACAAGAGCTAGTTCCAGGACAGGCTCCAAAACCACAGAGAAAAAAAAAAAAAAGAAAAAAAAAAAGCAAGTCAACATACTTATCCTTTTCTGAATAATAGCAGAGTCTCAAAATACTTGAGCTCAGCTCTGATTTATGTGTTCCCACCGCCCAGGATTAGTTCTACTCTTTGTTCAACACTGCCAGTTTGTTCACATGCATCCACGTTCCTTTTGTGGATAGCAGATCTCCCACAAGGCTTATTTTCTCTTCCCCAAAATATTATATTTTAAAGTTCCTTAAATGATGTCCCTCTCCCTGGAGGCCGTCACTCTGAGGTTTTGATTCCCCAGGATAGTCATCCTCCTCCTTTGTGAAGCAGGCTGGTAAACAGCAATGAACCCAGGGAGTCACCATGGTTTTACAGCTGTGATTCCAATGTAGCTTAGCATCTAGAAATCAATCCTTAATTTGATTTCAGGCCATTGCACGTAATTTTTCTGTGATGGCCTTGGTGTTTTTCAGTTTGACTCAGATCTCCTGAAGTTTGAATTCAGATCTTCTGAAGTTTG